GCTTATAAACACACACACACACACACACACACACACACACACACACACACACACACACACTAGGGAAAGTGGTACTGTTTGGATTCAAAGATATTTTATAGTTTTGCATTAAGGTACTTTTAAATATGGTGCATCGTGCAAGCATCAAGAAAGATGCATGTGCTTTCAGAGGTTAATGGTAATGCTACATATTATTTGTTGAATATAAAAATGCTCAGGTGATTCATGTCACTAAGGGCAGATGTGTGTTTAGTTGTGGGGAAGATAGGTGAGCTTCCAGTCCTGACTTGACGTGATTGTATGATTTCAGTTTTTTTTTCACTAGTCAACACTAATGTGATGGAAGTCAAATAGACATTGTTAAGGAATTTATTCCTTACTGTGATTTTTTTAGCCCATCTCTGTTGTTGGATCTGTTCAAACACTTGAAAGCAAGAATGTAGTATGCTGTTGAGGGTATATCCTGCTTACTGTGATTACAATAACCTTTAGTGCCCCCTCACCCCCACCACGTTTAGGACCCCTCCAGAGGACATGTTTGACATCAAAAGAGGAACTGTTATCTCAAGTATTTGTGTTGCTGCCATCACATCAAAGCTCAGACCAAAGACAATGAATGGTGGGTAGTGGTGATCTGGTCTCACCTCACCACTCCCAACTTTTTCCAGCCACACCGGGTCCGATGACATGTTAGTTTCTTCGTTTCCGGGATTTGCATGGAGGCGTAACTCCCCGCCTCTCATTATCATATTGTCTCTATATATTCTCATGACTGCATTTTTTCTTGGCGAAATCTGAAACTCTCAGGAGCCTGAATCGATTCGTATTGTGATGTGGAAAACTGCAGAAAAGAAGTGTACTGTTTCTTGGGTGGTGGAGAGAGGGCGGTATGGACTGTCTCTTCTCCAAAAAGAACTGGAGGTAATGAATTTGTTTAATGACACCACATTTGCTGATCAGCTACTAGCTTTGCAGTCAGCAAATGTAGCATGAGCTGAAAAGCTACGTATACTTTCAATATTTCCCCTTTTGTTCAAGTCACTTTTGAAATACTGTAAACCACATTGTGATTGCGTGTGCCACATCCAGTCACTCATCATAACTAGGAGGTCACTGTCTTCCTATTGATGAATGCCGAAGAACCAATCGAAAGACGACGTAGGACATGTCACACTATTCAGCAAGACGAACAAAAATTCGGAAATGCCGGACTTTCATCATTGTGGTTGTGAAGTCGCCTAGCTGCCTCACGGCCAATTGTTGAGTATGTCACACTACATGGGCTACGATGCATCAAGACAACTCGAAGTCAAATACAAGACACTACGTTTGTCTGCGACATATGTCGGCTCAAAATCGGGCTACATTCGTGTTGTCTGACGTCACGGGAGGAAGCCATGCTATGCTGAGTATTCTTTACTAATGGGAATTTACACAAAAATGCACGTCAAACTCAAGCACATGGACATATGCTGAGTGAAGTCATGATCGCCCACTCTTGTGTGATGTTTTTTCCAGGCAGAGAAAAAAATCCACTTGTACAGTGTGCTTTCTACTGGGACAGCCGGGTAACTTGGCCAAACCTTTTCCCTTTCTGGGCCTACCACAAGAGCAGGTTCTGCATGGCGGGCATTTGCTGTTTGTGCAAGTGATGGTGGGCATCTTTGTGTGTGGTGGAATCATTTCCTCACTGTCCCTTTCACCGGTTCTCTCTCTGACATATCCCTTGTCAGTAAAGGTGATGGACTTGTTTCATTCAGTTTGCTGCAAGCAGCTCTATTTTCTCCTCAAGTCAAAAGTGTGCGATTAGTGACCGGTCGACGTCACACTCCAAATGTCATTATGGAGTCATAAGGTCGCTTAAGACAAGTAGACTAGTCTGTACAACACTCATTTCAGGCAACATTGTATCACTGCGGCACCGCCTTGCCTTTTTGGTCACCAGAGATTGTTCCACCACAGATCAGCAGATGAAAAGCACACGAGTAATTTATTGCCAATGTTTTCTCCTCAAGAATGCTCAAGAATAATTGTGGCGACCGCAGCTAGGCATAAGGATCGATGGTTATGGATTTTTCTGTGGTGAGGTCTTGGAGCACTGGGTGTAATGAGAGATGGAGAGAGGGAAAGGGCTAGAGGAGTGACCGGCTTTATACTTTCTCATATAAAGTGAAGGTCTAAGCGGATAGCGTGGACAGGCTAGAGACAATGGAGTCGGTAGTACCTCATTTGTGCTGCCGTTCTGCACAAAATACGATTGCTATCATTGTCACATTGTGGACCACATAATAGGTGCACTTTTAATCATAATAATATTGACGACTGCATGTGACAATATGAACTGTACTATTATAACTGCAGCCTAAATGTGTCAATTTAAGGGGAAAACACATCTCCAAATTAAAAGAGGGCCAGACGGATTACATAAAGCACCGTATCACTTTTCGCAAGTATATAAAATAGTAGCACAGTCCATCTTATATTGAGCATTCATTGTCCGATATGGCTCAAGTTTTATTTGTCTAACAAATATAATCCTGCGTACTGCTATTGGATTTTTGACAGGTATTTTTTTCGGGGGGGTGTGGGGGATAATGATTTTTAGTAAAGTGGAATCTTTACGTGTCACTTGAAAAATGCTGCTTTTTAAGGCTGATTTATCCGCGTTAGATGGTACTGAATTTAAGCTTCTCAGAGTTAGATTTGAAATCTGGATGTATGGATGTATGCATGTATGTCCCAAATGTTGCAGAGTGGGTCTAAGTCTTGCTGTGTGTTAGGGTTTGTGAGTATGTAAGTGTGTGTCTGCACTGTCTGTGTGTGAAATTCTGCACACATGGGCGAGAGAAAGCAAGAGCAAGCTCGTCATGCTGTTAATGACAAGGCCAGATGCAGAGAAGGGAGGAGGAGTGTGAAAAAGCTCTCCACGCTCCCCATCTGGACGGCATCGCCCCCAAATGAAGTTGTAGAAAACCATCCCATTGATAATAAAGCTAATTTTTATGGCTCTGACAAGTATGTAATTATGTTCAGCGGTGCTTTTCAGATTTTATCACAGTCAATAAACCACACTGGCAATTTCCCGTCTCTCATCCGACATATTTACATGGATCCATCTGATTGGAGGAATTACTTAGCTGTGAGAGCTCTGATGGATATACACTACTGATCTGTGACTCTTGCATGGCTCATCTGTGAGCTTCTCATATATTTACTATACTCGTTCTATTCTATTTTTATACTACTTTAAAATACCCTTCTAACACATTTTCTATTTAGTTATAACTTTTTGTAATATTTTCTTGGGATGGGTGAGTACCGACGCCCACCCAGAAGAAAAGCAAAGATGAAGACGGTTTAGCTGTCGACCACTCCTTTTCACCTCAAGCTGTTGCTGTAGTTGCACGGCAGCAAGATCGCCGTGGCTTCCACAAATTATTACAAACCCAAGTTCAGTGACGGGATGTTGCGCTCAACATAAAAACAGAATGCAATGAATTACAAATCATGTTCAACCTATATTTAATGGAAGACACTACAAAGAAGATATTTAATGTATTATTGATTTTAACAAATAATCATTGGGACAGGGTCACCTTTACCACTGTGTTACATCACCTTTTCTTTTAACATTCAATAAAGGTTTGGGAACTGAGGACACTAGTTGTTGAAAGTTTGGGGGTGGAATTATTGCACATTTTTGCTTGAAGGTACAGCTTCAGCTGTGCAACAGTCCGGGGTCTCTGTTGTCTTATTTTACGCTTCACAATGGGCCACACATATTCAAAGGGAGGCACGTCTGGACTGCAGGCAGGCCAGTCAAGTACCCACACTCTTTTACTACGAAGCCATGTTGTTGTAGTACGTGCAAAATGTAGTTTGGCATTGCCTTGCTGGAATAAGCAGGGGTGTCCATAAAACAGATATTGCTTTGATGGTAGTGTATGTTTCTCCAAAATCTAGATGTACCTTTCAGCATTAATGGTGCCTTCACAGATCAAATGCAATTTACTGCACTCTCACATTCCTATCTAAAGTCTTGCTGTACTTTTCTGTGGCTATAGACTGTCAAAGTTCACTAAAAACTTTTAGTCACGTAAACTAAGCTTAACGTAGCTTTTTGGGCCTGTACCAGACATTCTGGTTTGGTACGTGTTGTAATTCTCAACATTCACTCTCGTATTTAGTTATTTACAGCTCAAAAGAGTCATATGACGTGATGTCAAATTGCCTCCTCCTCTTCTTCTTGTTCTTCTACTTCTTAGTCATGTACTTCATTACGTGGGTGTCACCCAGTTTTCCAACTGAAATGCCACAGCAGAATTAAACGGTGACAAACTTGTGCTGCCAAAATTGTGGTTAAATGGTAGATATTCTTCATTGTTACTTGAAGCACAGTTATATTCAATCTAATTCTTTGAAGTTGTGCAACCACGTATTTTGATTGGGACTTCTGGCCCCTAAATTTATTTTATAGTGTTTTACATACAAAATATGTATTTTATGAACACATGGAAAAGTGACCATAGAAATTTGACATCAACATTTTTCAATTTTAAAGAAAATGCTCTGTTGAGATATGTAGGCCTCTCTTTAAAATGATGTATTGGGGAAATTTGAGGTTTCAAAATTTCTAGTGGTATTGGTAACTACTCAAGATTCGAGTGGTATCAATCTGAAAAAAAGTGGTCTTGAACATCCTTAATATTTTCCTGAGTGATGCTTTAGCAATAACTTTTTTTCCCATTAGTTCTTAAATGTCAAAAAAGTTTGACGCAACAGACTTAAAATCACTGCAGAAAGACGTTTTTTTAAAATTATTTTTGTGTCAAAATAAGCATAAACCAAAGGCACAGTAACACAAAATGGTGATAAATCACACTTTGTTTTCTATGGCAACTATATAATGGTCCCTACATGTTATAGAATTATGTATCTACTTCCTTTTTTGCTCCGTAGGCAATAAGATGTGTAAATGACTGTTTCTTCTCCTTGTCCAGGTGAAAAGACTTTCCTCTGTGACCTGTGTGGTTTTGCTGGAGGCACACGGCATGCTCTCACCAAGCACAGACGCCAGCACACAGGTACGAAATTCACACACACAACCACCAATGTATAAACTCAGATTGAGAGTGACACTTCAAGATAAAATAAATAAAATAAAAGTAATATTTTCCCCTCCACATAATTTTAGCAACTATGCTACAAACAAGACTGCGTCTGTGTGACATGCTGCTGTCATTGATAGGCATGTGTACCAGCAAGGCTGAGATTTTTTAATTTTAGTTATCATTCCACCATGTCAGTCTGGCGTTCAGGGAAATTGAATATTTTTTTGATGGGCTGTCAATAATAGTGTTTTGGGGGAGGAAATGAGAAAATGAAACAACACACTGCTCTTAAGTGCTGATGTGTGCCCAAGGGTCAATAATCATGTTTTGAGTGTAAATGTACATTTTTATAATTCAGTTTGCTCTTTATTTGTCTTATGCTCCCACTGCAAACGTTATCTCCTTTCTGTACATGTCGGCATGTGTTAATTCGACGGATTCCAGATTTTGCAATTCTTTTTTTTATGATGCCAATTTAATTGTCAAATCGCTCTGCTCCGCAGGAGAGAGACCCTTCAAATGTAAACTTTGCAACTTCGCTTCAACTACGCAGTCCCACCTGTCAAGACACAATCGTGTTCACACTGGGGAGAAACCATACCGTTGCCCCTGGTGCGAATACAGGTTGGTACCAGCTCAATGACCTGCCCACACTTGGTGGTGCTGATGGCCAATGATTATCAAGAGGGGGTGCATGGTGCTTGGGGGAATAGGTAGTATGGCAAGCAGGTGGCACAGTTTCTGCGTGCGCGTGTGTGCGCGCGTGTGTCAGTGTGTCTGTGTGTGCGTGTGTGTGTGTGTGTGTGTGTGTGTGTGTGTGTGTGTGTGTGTGCGTGTGTGCGTGTGTGCGTGTGTGCGTGTGTGTGTGTGTGCGCGCGCGCACGAGCGAGTGTGTGTTGCTGTAAAAACTGGATGTAGGAAGTGAAATGGGGCTGCTCTAATCTCCTACACTGTTCCATCTCATTATGAACAATCCCAGTCACATCTCCCGAACATGCATTCAGACACAATGTCACAGACACTGACGGGTCCATGTCATTAAAACACCATCATACCATGTTTTAAATTAAACGGAAATTGTCACTTAAATAGATTTTTTTTGTCTGGTTCTGAAGATTTGTGAATGCATTTACATTGGTTTGTACAGTATATGGAAACACACTCAAATACCTCAGTCAGTGTTATTACGTTCTATGAATGCCATTATTAGCTGAAACGTTTACATTTTTAAACAGACTCATTTTATCAAGCACCATGTTTAGATCAGATAAATTATATAAGAGGTGTTTGGATGTGAGAGGAGCAAAATTACATGATAGTGAACGCCTGTGGGGATAGGGACAGGGCTGGCCCACGTATAGCCAAAATCTGGATCTAATTGACAGCCATTATAAATGCAGTGAAGCGGAAGAAAAAAAAAATCAACAAAACAGGAAAAAAACTGCCAGACTATTTTCCTCAAAATGGGGGTTGATTCCCAAAAACAAACCAAGAATATAATACAAAAAATTGCAAATGCGTAACTCTGTGGGTGCTGGACCTCTAATATGTGGGGATCCACTGTTCATCAAATAATTGTGTTCTGAATCTGAACATCAGCGTGTGAGACAAATGAATTGTCTTTTTGAGGAGATTCTATCCACTGAGGCTTGATTCTGAAATGCTTAAAAATGACTGGGTAGAAACTAGTCTATCATACGTTGCTTATTATTTGTAGCTATTCAAATGGATATAGATGCTAGATTTCTTTGCTGTGGTCCAAAAAAGAAAATGGTGCCGATTATGTCTGTGGCACTATTTGCCAGCTTTTTATGCAAATTGCTAAACTTTTGCTATTGGGTATTTATTTATTTATCTATGTGTTTGTTTATTTACATTCTTAAAGTCAAAGTGGAAAACTGAATTGTCTAATTGATACACAGCCCCTGACTCCTGCCACCAACTAATGACTGTTTCTGGAACGGTGCTACATATTTCACTTTGCTTGAAAATGCTGCTTCAGTTTGAATTATGGTGGCTTTGAGGATGACATGCCTCTTGACAGCGGCAGAAATGTTTGCAACCTTGTAAAGCGGAGGGAGGCATGTGGAGGCTGCTAAGGATTGTTAATGGGTTTTCTTGGCAGTTAAAGTCCAAAAAACACCACTGATCTAAATAAGCACCTCACACACCCTTTAACGCAAACACATTTGACTGTCCTCTACACAAGTGGCTCTCAATTACACGTTTCCAATTACCATACGCTTGCCGCATGGGAAAATGTGAAAATTATTAAAATAAAAGAGGGCAGGAGAGCGGCAGAGACAGAATTTGACAGAAGGGGTGATGTACACACTCAGCATCAGTATGGCTGATTCCCATGGTGAGTGCATTGATGGGGGAAGAAGTTGAAACAGTGTCGGACTAATTAATACAGTGTATAGGAGGAGGGCTGGTGCGGGCTTTCACTAACTGTGGCACCTACTGACTTCTAAATGCTCACTGTGTTGTTTTAATATGACAATTACACCATTACCATATCTGAGAGATAGTATACCCCCCCCTAGGAATCCACCTACGCTCGTTTCAGAAGTTTTGAAGTGTTGCCTTTAATACATATTTTACTTTCACTTTTTGCAAAATATATCACTCTTCGTAATGTATGCACATTTCAGTAATATGTCTGTGACAATCAACGACTGGAAGTCTGTTAGTTTTCATGACATGAGCAAATGCATCCACAGTTTAATCACCTCGGATGCCTGAGGAGCCCGATGTTTCGACACTATGCTTTCATACAGCATGTTTAGAATTTCGGCGACTGATCCCGTGGATTTCTAAATGAGGCATTCAAATAGCTGATTCATTATGAGGACTGTAAGTACGTGGTGAATTTGTACTGATCACTTACTCGTGAATCTATTCTGGTTTGTCCGAAGGGAACTTAGCTTTTTTTCTGTCCCATAGCCTTCTGTAAATTCCACACTACTATCCCTCCCTTCTTTGACCCATGAAAGTGAACAAACTCCTTTGAAAACATCAAGTTTTTCTGATGTTATTTATTCATTCATTTTGTTTTGTGACCGATGGTCCACTTTGACAAAATCGCCCGTGCGGTTGAATAATAATCCCAAAGCAAGATATGGCCACCACTATGCTTCCTTCACTTTTCAAGATGTGCAGTGTTAATAGTCTTTTATGAAAACCTGGTACGAGAGTTTTACTGTGTATATGTATTTCACTCATTAGATCTGATGACTACTTTTAGGAAACTTTTATATTTGGGTGAACACAGCAAATCGATGTGATTACCGCTTTTATGAACAGTTTACATTTGGATTAACACAGTATTACACGGTGCCATTCATCTTTCTGACCTGCACTCAAGGTTGATCAATGGCTAGTGTTCATGGATTTTATATAGCATGAGCAGAACATAGGTTATTTTTTGGAGCTGCAGTGTACTATGGCCCGTGATGGAGATTGGTGTCTCTGCAAAAGTGAAAACAAATTTTCTCTTCAGCTTGTTTGAGCTATGGCGCAGTAAGGCTTTATTGGCCCAGCCAAGGTGATAAGGGAGAGTAATTGTGTATTATATTGTCCAGAATGTCAGCTCCAAACTGAGCATGAATATCCCATCCATCAAGGCATGATGGTGTGTGTTTGTGTCCGTGGAAAAGAAAAAATGTTCCTCTGCTATACATTCTTGCTTACACGATGTCTTTGTGCAGCCATATGTACAATACATGTAAAATTACGGACAGTGGATAAGGTGTATTTTTTAAAAAAAGTTGACACACTTTGATGGTGTGTGTAAATAATGAGACTAAGACAAATAATGTAATATAAAACAACAATAATTATAATGATAATCACCTATATTCTGATCAACTTGGTAAAATAAATAATTATAATAATAATCACTAAAATTCTGATCAACTTGGTAAAAAAATAATTATAATAATAATCACTAAAATTCTGATCAACTTGGTAAAAAAATAATTATAATAATAATCACTAAAATTCTGATCAACTTGGTAAAAAAATAATTATAATAATAATCACTAAAATTCTGATCAACTTGGTAAAAAAAAAAAAAGACATCTTTTTGAGAAGGTAAACAAAACAACGTGTTGGTGCACACCCTCGTATAACTGGGGATGCGGCTGTGTGACTGAATTGTCACGCATTGTGCAGGGTTCAGCCACTACTTTTCATGAGTGGCCTACTGTTGGGCACTTTTTTGGCTACACCCACACTCACTCACTCAACTTTTATTTATTTATTTGGGGGGGGGGACTTTCTCTTGTATTATAAAAGCTACAGTGGCCAGGGAAAATTGTATCTTCCTTAACAATCTCAACATGTTGTTTGTGGTTGAATAGAAAACAAGAGTACAGTGCACAGCATGCGTCACATCCAAACATTGTTTCCCTTTACGAGCGCTGGGGTCGCACTTTTTCAGCACAGTGAGTTGGCATGTTTGTGGAGGTCAATTTTCTAACGTGTGTTGGGAAGTCGCCGACTGTAGTTTTTTTTTTTTTTTTCCGATCTCCCACAATTGTGCAGTTCAGTCACTTTTGGCTATGTCGTTTGCTGTGTGTGGTGAGCCTTCATTGGGAGTTAGCACACAACTGCCCTTTGCTTTTGAACAGAAGCCTGAAGGTTCCGTGCTAACACTGACTGTTGTTGAGAACTGTTCATAATTCCTTCCACTTTGACTAAAGTCCCAATTCTAGCTGAAGAAAAGCAGCCCCAAAGCATAATGCTTTCAATGTTTTCCCTTTCCTTTTATGTTATGCATCATACCCTCGATGGCTGTGTAACATAATTTGAAATAAAAACCGAATCCATCATTTGGTCAGAAACACAAATGTATACAACAAAAATAAAGGACTTGATCTTCCCGTTCCAGTACTTTTGCAGGGGACTTTATTTAATACCTTAGAAATTATTTTGTACTCTTCTCCTGATTTATATCTTTGAACAATGGGATTATTTTTATGCTTTGGAAGCTCTTTGTACGAAACGATAAATGGAACAGTTGAATTTAATTTGGGGTGAATCAAAGGCACTTTAAATGGTGGCATGTGTGCTGACTCCCATCCCTCTGAAATATTTCATTGTTATTTTAATTGAGTTGAAAATGGTATACAGTAGGTAGGTCACATTATTAGGGGGAACTATTTTAAATGTTTAATTTTTTTAATATTTTTGTTTTAATCTTGGTTTTATCTTTGATCTTATTTGTATTGCAAAAAACTTGCATTTGAATAGGGTTTTTTTTTTAAATTCCAGTGTGTATAATCCTAGCACTGGTACATTTGGACCAATCAGACATTTGCTCATTCAGTTCCTCGTATCAGTGTGTGTGCGTGAGTGTGTGTTTTCTTGGACAGGTTTAAATCGAGCCTTGCAGCGGGTGAGGCAGCATCATTAATCAGCAGAGGGTTGCGTGTGACTCTGCACTGACATTGTTACATCCTGTACATCATACAGTAACACATCGAGCACCCTTATCAGATTCAAACACACATTTTTGTGCACTGTAGGATACTCATTGGCATAATTAGAAATATATTTAATGACTACATATTTCATATACTTGCAATACTGTATATGGTGGAGAAAGTATTCTGGCTGTTGTACTTACAAACTGTTTACCAGAAGCTTTATATGTTCCTCTCTTTGCCACACTTTTATAAGATGTTTAAATATACCTTTGTCCATTCATTGCAAAGGCATGTGAGGTTACAGATCAGTGATACTGGACAACAGTCAATCTCTGGTCTACTTCATTCCACAAATTTTTAATTGGCTTGTGAGCGTTGTTTCTTGCTATATGCTACCAAGAAAAATGAATCAAGGAAGGAATTGCAGGATTATCCATGTTTTAAGATGGCTTTCCTTTTGAAACATATTTCTTGAGAAAATTAATGCATTGCGATTCCACCCAAATATGGCTGCTGTCCCAGCTCAAAAATGTTTATGTAATGCATACATTTGCCAAAAATATATTTGCGTTAATAGCAATTGGAACGAAAGTTTGTATGGCAAACTTTATCATGGAGGAACAGGATTTTTTTTTTTTTGCCTTCAAAACTCGCCTATCACCGGTGCCGAGCCAAAGTGTCCTAAACAATCAATCACTTTTTAGGAGACCCGGAAATTGGTATGTCTGTTTAACCCAGCGGCCGGCATCCCAAAATGTTGAAAGACCCACATTGGACCAAAAAGGCAAAAAACAAATATGTCTGGAGCTGCAAAAAAATTAAAAACCTTATATATGCCTTAAATGAAAGCATAAGTATCTATATTAGCCTACTACACAATGAGCCTTCACTATCAAATGTTTTTGTTTGGGGTTTTTTTTTCCCGGCAATGGATCCTGTAGAGCAGGGGTGCCCAACCTTTTTTGAGCGAAGATCTACTTTTTGATCAAAGATCCTCCCTCGATCGACCCATTACCACTCACGCATGCACTTACACATATGCATGCCATCGTGAGCAACATCCACAACGGCCCCTAAGATGAACGAAACAGAAAAATAATGTAGACACAAGAGTTTGCGGGTTTGTGAAAAGGAAATTACTGTCTACCATCATCGAGACCTGACGCGGAGGCATGGGACGCACTTCTGCGGCGTGTTAACTATCGTAGCTCACGTGTACTGTTTTAAAATGCTTCTTTCGGCCCTTCAGATTCCCATCCTTTGCCAGTACCCTCGGTGGATTTTACATGAAACGTCGTTTTTTTTTTTTTGTTTTTTTTTTTTTTTTTTTACAATAGCCACCTGCCTGGCATCCCGCCCTGCCAATTGAAACGTGTGTCGCAGGCTATGATGCAAATCTTTGACAGAAATGTTGAAATGTAATATTTATTCTACACATTTTTACAGCATTGGAAAACATTAAGAATGTTTATGTCATGTTTGTCCTCCTACAAAAACCATATTAAAACAAAAAATATATTTCCGTCCCCCATTTTTTTCCATTTTCATACATTTTTGAAAAAGCTCCAGGGAGCCCCTAAGGGCGGCGCTAAAGAGCCGCATGCGACTCTCAAGCCGCGGGTTACGGACCCCCGGTTAATCCGTAAACATGTACATAGCACCTTCCATAATAATTGACACCCCTCTGGTTAAAATGTTTTCTTTAGCTTCTATCTTGGCCGTTTTTTTTTTTTTTTTTCAAATAATAAAAATAATGAAAAAGGAAAAGCCAACCTTTCGTTCAAGTGCATTTATTCAGTTGAAAAAAAAATCCCACAGTAAGAAATAATGATTTTACATCAAATAAAGTGTACCACAATAATTAGCAGCTATGATATTAATACTTTGTACAATCCCATTTATACCTAATATGTTTCTATAATGTCTCACAAGATCAGATAATACAGAAAGAGGGATCTTGGACCAGTCCCATTTGCACAAATCATCCAACGACATACGTCCTCTTCTCTGCACTTTCCTCTCTTGCTCACACCACATGTTTTCAAAAGACTGAGATGGCCATGGGAAGAGTTGATTTTGTATCTCATGAACCATGTCTACAATTGTCAGTTTGAGCTCTGCAATAAAAATTGAATTGATTTCAAGGCTTTTAAACCATCTTAACCAGGGCTGCCAATAATCATGGAGGGCATTCATGTACATTATACACTTATGTTTGTGTGCGTGTGTGTGTGTGTGTGTGTGTTTGTGTGCCGTATTTTCCGCACGAAAAGGCGCACCGAAAAGCCATCCATTTTCTCTAAAAGCTCACAGCGCGCCTTAAAATCTGATGCGCCTTGTGTATTGTCATTACGGTAATATTTCGACCCCAAAATGGCTCCTTGCTCGAGACATGCTGACAACGCAGAGTTCAAGCTTAAGGCGATCGGTTATACTTTTACAAATGGCGTTAGGGAGATATATATATATATATATATATATATAAAATGATTTATTTTACTGTATTTATTTTTCTTACCCCTCTTCCAGATCCAACTGTGCTGAGAACATTCGAAAGCACATCCTCCATACAGGAAAACACGAAGGGGTGAAGATGTACAACTGTCCAAAATGTGACTACGGCACCAACTCTCCTATAGAGTTCCGCAACCACCTAAAGGACAGGCACCCTGACATTGAGAATCCCGACCTTGCTTACCTACATGCAGGTAAATCATTTAAAAATATATTTTCTGTGATTTCCTAGCCAAACACAACACATTTGATACAAAAATACATTTTCCGTGGCAGCCTCAGACAACATCATCCAGGTTTTATTGTTCCTCACTGTCTGTACTGTATAAGGTTTGCTAATTTCTCCTTTTTTACCATTTTATTTAACCTTCTGATCATTTTTTTTTTCAATTTTCAAGGAGTAGTATGTGTCTATTTCAGTGAAAGAATCCTATGGGTTTTGAATAAATCCAACCAAAGACGTCTGAGGTAGTTGAGGTCAACCAACCCAAGCTTTATAATATCCGTAGAGGTCAGATGTTCTCTTTTGGTTGAACATTCTTTTTGTCTCGAGATCAAGTCTTGCTATTCACTGCCACAAAGAGACGACTCTCAAAGATTGCTGATCTAGTCCTTCTTGTCAGTCACTCAGACCACAGAGACAGATGAAATCATGTTCTTCCTCTGTTGGTTTCGTTGAATCCCATTGGTCTTTATTTGTCCTTGGAGAGCCACCAAATCCAATTGACAAAGTGCTTGTCCTTCATCGGAACAGAAGAGGTAGCCTTTATCCTGTTATCCTTCTGACCTCTTTAAACTGTGGAACACATTGCATTTTTGCAGCACTATTGTTCATTTTTTATTGAAACTAAATAAGTCCAATTTTGCCCTTGTGTTGTTTCTAAAAACGTTTTATTTATTTATTTATTTATTTATTTTGAAACAGTTATGAAGTTATAATAATTTTTTAGATGCAGGGGCGGTCTGTTCTCTACAGCTGAACCTAAACCGTATCCTCTCACCTCTAACCCAGTGCTTCCTGAAAACCTTTCACCCCACAATTTCCCTTACCTCCGTTTCACTGATGACATTGCTGCAAAGACTCTTTTGGTTTTTATTTGATTTTTCCCCCCCTTCCATTTTTAATTGTCAGTTATCAGAAAACACAATAATAATTCCAAAATCCTGTTGAGGAAATTTCAAGGCCACATTCAAAGGGGTCATGGTATGACCACAATTCATCATAACCACATAAACAACTGTCAGCATGTAGTTCATGGTCAGAGTTGCAGTTTGAAGGTTAGGATGCTTTTGGAACTTGCATTCTGTAGTATTCACCTCTTTTATTCAAAATTTACATGACAAATATGAGTACAACACATTCAACAAGGAAAACCACGGCTTTACTTTTTGACTGTCATTCATGGTGATCATCTTAATTGATGTGATGATCTTGCTTCTGTCAAATGGCATGAAAATAAAACACTGCATAAGTAGAAAAAGAACAACTCCCACATCTCTCACATTTCCCACATCAGTGCATTCAAACTAGAGGTGGTTGGAGGAGGCGGGAATAATTGAAAATGCGCTTGTGATCTTTCTGGCTTTCTAAAAAGGGGGAGTTGGTGACCCCCCCCCCCCCAAAAAAAAAATCTGCACTTCATCTAACTAGACATAACAAGACCAAAAGAAAGGGAACGGAAAAAAAGATTAAGAAGGTGGATGTTGAATTAACCTGCATGTGATTGCTCTCTGTCAGTGGCACCAGGGCCAGCAGTGAGAGGCAAATCATCTGTGATGGCCCTTCCTGCTTTTTCCTCTTTGAAAGACACAGATCAAACGCGCCCTCCTCACAAGCCCTTGCAGCCCCATCGCGTCGGATTGATTGACACCCGAATGTCTTGGCTGCTGCCGTATCATCCCAGATAACTCTCACTTCACCCACGTCTCTCTCCATCTTCCCTTCTTTATTCCATGTCGCCACTTGAATTAAAGCCATTCTCGGAGATGAAAGCACAGGCCTTTTCCAAATGAAAGAAAGGAGGGAATTAGACTGTACAAGTAGTGGTTGGGAATGATGATTAGAATTTGAGAAGAAACGAGGCTCTGCTGTAAGCAAATGGCAATGGCAATTGTCTTTCTTTCCCGATCTGCAGTTCGATAGGCCAGACAAATTCAGTATGCTTTGCACAGGACAGTATGCCCTGATGGGCCGCAGTTTTTCTGTCTTGCTGTGCACTTGGGCCAAGTTAATTAAAACAAAACATGGCTTTTTTGCAGTTGCTGGCTTCCTCGAAATTGTCTGTTTGCTTTTTGTGCCTCTAGAATGTGTTATCCCTCTATCACTAACAAAGCGCAAACCCCCCTTTTCAATACGGAATATGACCTGTTGGCATGTGTCGTGTGCAAAACCACGAGACAAGACAAGATGGGTTGTCGTCCTCCTTGCTATCCCTAATCAAGTGGCTATTCATTGCAACTACAAACGGCTCACACCCGGAAGTCACCACAAAAGTGTGTGTGTGGGGGGCGGGGGGCATGTTGTGCTGATCTAATTTGCTTTGTTGAAAGATGTTTTTAAAATGTCAAAACTGTATAGTGTCATAGTTTGGATAAAGCTTAAGTGGAGTCCAGTGAGCATTAAGGGAAGGTTTCATTAATTTTACACGTGGCAAAATTGGTAGTCATCAATGTCTATTGGAAAACCGCATAAGAGCTGAAACCTACATCTTGATATTGATAGATTTCATTTTTATGGCAACATTTTCATCACAGGGCTATGTCCATGTTGGGTCCAACGAGATATAGTGTGTGCAATTTACTGCTTCAAAAATAGACACACAGTGGACAACGAGAAGTACACAAAGAAAAATAATACTATAATGGATAGCAAAAATTCGAAGGTCAACCAGAAACAGCAAACAAGGTGCACACTTGCATGTTATTCCAGAGTTTTGTCGAACCCCACTGTGCACAACAGGCAGGCATGCAGGTGCAGTGAACATTTCCGGGACTTCCGGGATCTACAGATGGAGAGGAGACACGCCATGCTGGTGACATTAACAACAAATGCGGCGCTAACTATCTTTACCAAGCCAGAGATGGGAGATGAGCTCGACTGCCCGGGGGCGGTTCTGCTTTCTTGTGCCTTCCCCAACGCAGGCGGCGTTGTGGTCGTTATGTTCATAATGCGAGCGGAGTCCACGCTTGTAAATTTACCTGCTGTCCATCATTTTTTCAAGCCAAATTAAACTATAATTGTCAGTCGATCTGTCTGTCGGTGGCACGGTGGGCGATTCGTTAGCACGTCCACCTCACAGTACAGAGGTGCTAGGTTTGATTCCAGCTCTGGTTGGGATGTTTTCCTCATCTACTGCCCGAAGTCAGACGGGATAGGCTTCAGCACGCCGGCGACCCTCAAGAGCAAAACTGGATTAGATGGTGGGACAGAAACGAGCGTCTTCGTCACTGCAGGGTTAGTATTAGCATCTCGCTTCATTGCGCTCATGTCAAAACTTCGATGGCTGCAAAGAGTTTCAGAATGGACGGCGGTTGCTGTCTCGTATTGTGTGGACTTGCAGCCATCTCAATAGTCCGTTTTATATTTCTTTATTCACGGATTTACGATGTAGCAGAGCATCATGATATGACGTCATGTCGGGTTTCTTCTTCAAGGTTACATAGGTGCCATCCAGTGGTCAGGTAGAGATACTCCAGTTGAAAACCTAAATGTTCGTTAAAGCACTTATCTTCCTTCTACAACTTTTTAATTGTACTTTGACATTTATGATTAAAATTTTAATTTAATTATCATACTCCACCAAGATTGGCAACAGGAATATGCCACCCCTTTCATGCAAAATTACATTTCATTCCCTTTGGTAATGTGCTTTTACTTCTAGTTGGAATACAAAGCTCTAAATGTGAGTAGTATAATCAAACAGTTTTGATAGAGGACATTTGCAAGCAGCTGCTTTTACATGGGGAAAATAACATTTCCCCCTATTTCCTAACATTTTACAGATCAACATAGTCACAGAGTCATTTCTTTGTGCAACTCCTAGTATACAGAAATTGGCAGCATTCTCAGCCCACTGACTGCATCACCTGCTTGTCTGCAGGAATACTTTCAGCAGCACTAGTGCGTGCAGTGTAATGTCTGTGTATTCTACGTATGCCGGAACAGTCAAACACTTTCACTTGGTCCTCTCCTGTGAGTGATGGATGGAGGGAATACTTGTGGGCAGCCCTGTTCCTCCACGGGATAGTGAATAAAACCAGAGAGATGTGCCATCTTCTCCTATCAAACCTCATCCATTGTTCAAATCCAGCTTCTCCCTCAATTCAATTCAGACGCCGCTTACCCAAACAGAGCTAAGTTGTCAAAGGCAAGAGGGATATACTGTCAGGGGGAAATTCTCAACAAATAGTCTTGAACTTTACTGTGCCAACACGACCCAATGTCTCAGTGTCTTCCCTCATCGACACCCTCTTTGGCTCCAGTGCTCTATTTATGACCTTTGCCCTCCTTTACTGTCCCAAGCACCCCTCTTCATTTGCCTCTAGTCGTCTGTTCTGTGACTCCAGACACAGCAGCAGCATTACTAATTACCAGCAGGCTCAACTTTCCCAACTAAACAACCAATTATCAGCGCTTTAGCTAAAGCCGAGTCCCATGTTTTCTGATACAGTGGCCTATTAAGGGCCCTTATTTCTCCCCCAGCATAATTGAATCCCCTGGCTGCTAATCAGTGGGCTATTTTAGGGCAATGTGCAGTTGGTAATCAGAGGTCCTGCCTATTACACTATCAGATCCCAATTAAGTGCCCTCTTATTTCCAACATAACAAGTCGCTACTGCCACTGTTGTTATTGTCGTTCCCTTTTTAGTTTCTGTTCAGTTTCAGTTCGGAGTGTAAAGCTAAAAGGGCAAAGGTTAATTTCCATGTTAACAGTGTTTTGTGTTTTTTTTTTCTTTTTCTCCCCACACGTGATGAGGAATTACTGAAACAAGGGCTTATGTAAGATATAAAACTCTCAATTGTCTAATAGATATGGCTCACTGCTTTGTTTATTCCTGTTTTCTCGACAAAATAGTCTTTTACAGTACAAGCCGTATCAAAGGAGGCTAGTCCATTTCTTTTGAGATTAGATTTTATGGTCTGCTTCCATCTGCAGAGTAAGTTTAATGTCAACATAAATCTGCACTGTGCCTG